TACACCTTTTGGAAACATGAATCCACTTCAACGATGGGAGAGCTCTCCGCCTGAACACGAAGCAGCTGCAGCTTCTGACATATCACGCGCCATCGCCGCTTGCTCTGAAGAGTCCGTCGCTTACAGCTCCCAGAACTCGGCTACATTTTCGGGCAACGCATCCTTGGACGGAAGTGACGGAACTTCATATTCAAGCATAGGCTCTGGCTCTGGCTCATCGGCCTATTCTTTCGGTGAGCGCACTTCACTCAAGTCTCAAGATCCTCTCAAGGACATGTTGCGGCGCAGAAGAAGGCGAACCGGTGCCAGAAGAGATGAAAAGTTTAGAGTCGGGCTTCCACAGCTGTCACGGCCCCTCAAAACGTTCCAGTGCACGTTCTGTACTGAAACTTTCAAGACCAAGTTCGACTGGCATCGACACGAAAAGTCACTACACCTCTCTTTCGAGAAATGGATTTGCTCGAGGGATGGGTCAGTAGTACCCGATACCAACGGAGGGACACTGTGTACTTTTTGTGGAGAAGCCAGTCCGAATGAGCAACACCTCCGAGATCACAATGCGGTTGAATGTTCAGAACGATCTGTTGAAGAACGGACTTTCTATCGAAAAGACCATCTTCGGCAACACTTAAGGCTGGTACATGCGGTAGACTATTCAGAAGAGCTAATGAAAACTTGGAATATCAGCAAGGAAGATATCAAGTCGCGATGCGGATTTTGTGGTATCTCCATGACATCGTGGATATATCGTGCGAACCACTTAGGCCAACACTTCAAGGCAGGGAAAACAATGGCTGATTGGGAGGGCGATTGGGGCTTTGATGATCATGTGTCGGAGATAGTTGAAAATGCCATGCCTCCCTGTGAGTGGTTCCTCGGTTTGGTTTAGCATGAGACCTGATTGTGGCTAATTTGGTATAGACCTTATTCATTTAGAGCAAGTCTCGCCTCTCCCCTTTTCTGCGGTACAAGGACCTACCGAGACCCCGACCAGTTCATATGAGCTTCTTAAGTTAGAGCTTGAGTACTATATGCAACATCAATTTGATAGTGACGGCAGTCTGCCCTCTGACCCAGAACTTCAATATGAGGCTTGTTCCATCATCCATGCAGCGGAAATATCATCGCCTGTTCCTGCCCAGGCAGCACCGTCTTGGCTTCGGGATGTATTCATGTCCTCAGATGAACCTACAAAGCGGACTTGCTTGCGCCCAGTCAATCTTTGCAAGGTGCGAGTAAGCCAGCTAAGCATCAATGGGAAAAACAACATATTTGAGAATTGCAACCTGGAGCTCGAGTTGCGCAATTTTATCATCATGCACCAGACTCTGGGCCTCGCCTTGTCAGACTCAGAAATACAAGAAAAAGCTTGCAATGTCATCAGTCATGCAGACGCCAGATTCTTGGATGGATCCAAACGGTTCATGGATTTCATGGTACGGCTTATTTGGGGCTCTGTGAACTGGATTACCTTTCTGCTTGAAAGAGCAGGGCAGCAGGCTACCGACGGCATGGATAACGCCAATCAGAATTTCATCCCTACCTTTCCTGAACTCGACCCAGGTCCTGTGTATTTGCCAAGCATGGGGTGCTCAGAAGGCACGGAGACAATTGGAAATCCAATGTACCCAGCTTCTACACTCAATGGCACTCGCGACACAATGGGTGAGATTCTTGAATTCCCGACATTGCCGACCGATGCATTCGTAGGGACGGCGTATGGTTCAGGCGGCACTGGAACTGGGTTCACTTCCGATCTCTCCCTCCAAGTTACTAGCCAAACTAGCTTACTGGGCACAGCGGATGTCGCATCTGGCTTCGATGTTGTCCCTAATCCGGCATGTAAAAGTGGTTTAGCGAGACTACTTGGAAACGCTGATTCAGTATATACTACACTGAACATGCAGCAACGTGCAAGGACATCATCAGGGCGAGTACATTTTCATAATGGCGGTAACTCGTATCTGGCTCTTGTGAAAGACCTATCCAGCTTCGCCAAAAGAGCAATGTCGATCCGCAATCCCGACCGCCACATTCCCACTGATGAGGAGATCAAATACCAAGCGCGTTGGATATGGTACGAAGAGTAAGTTTCTTACGCGGCCTCTCAAAACGTCAACTCCTGCTGACAAGGCTCTGATGTTTAGTGACGATCCGTGGAATCAGACGCCAGCAGATAACGAACAATGGTTGCGAGAGTTTAAGCTTAATGAGGGTATACCTAGCGTCAACGAAGAGTAGTTTCTAAGGCTCCATAAGACACACAAAAGGGCCATTGTCGGATGGGACGGGTGGGTGTCGGCGCGGCGCTGCGTGTAGTACCTATCTCAGAGTCAAAGCAGATTTATTTCCCGGAACAATCTTTTTTCTTGAGTGCGACGCTCTTTGGCCGTTTTTCTTTTTTTCTAGTTTGTGCTGCCAGGCAGGGGAAAATATAGTAGTCAGCAAGTCCGGGGGTAAAAAGGAAATCGTGGGAGGTGAGGTGGAACGTGCAGCAGGGTATTTGATTGACACAGTAGTGTTTGTCTTTGTACTCGCTGACTACTCCTTATGCATGTCCACGGGTTTGCCATGCCTCCCCTAGGTGCCTACAACACGGGTAGTGCCTCATGGATCCGGGCTTTACCGAGTCCTTGAGAACAATGAAATCTCTAGCCTGGCTATTGTTTGACATCAGAGACGTGGGCAAGTTGGTTCGCGTATACCGATTATCAAAAGGGAGGCAGCGAAGGTCGCTTGACCTAACCTTGGAAGAAGCCAATGCTGATGTATCTCACTACCGAGCTACGCACCCCACCCAAAACGCGTCAATTAATTTAATCCCTTCTTCTTTAACTACCTACTATGCCGCCAATTCGTACTCAATCTTCTCAAAATTCAATAGAGAGAGGGTAGGATTTTATTAGCTAACCAGGCTATTAAGAAGTAAGAAACTAGCGCTATCCGTAAAGTAGCGCGCCGTTTTAACGTACCCGAATCAACCCTCCGGACCCGTCTTCGTAGGACTACTTTTCGACGGTATGGTCAGCACCCATGGAGATGCGCACAGACTGAAAAAAGCATCATCCCAAACTCATCTGTCGACTGCACCCACCGCTCAATCCGCTTCCTCCTCGCCTCCGACCCCGTCTCCGACGATCTCCATAGCTCCGAAATTTGCAACATCCCATCCTCCCATTTAGACAGGTGCCGATTATATTCCCTCGTCCAAGAAACTCGATCAGAAGCCTCCCACAGCGCCTTACTCTCAGGAACAAGAATATCCCTCAACTCATCCGACAGGAAATTCGGAAGACCCTTGTCGGAGTTGTACACATTCGTGAAGAGGTACATTGTGAACAGCGTGCGCCGTTTGGAAGAGGCGATGATCCAGGATTCCCAAGTTGGCCGCGTTTGAGAAAGCTCGGCTTTGCAGGTAAACCCTGCTTTTGCGGCACGGAAGGCGAGGTCTTGGAGGGTTATCAAACTCATGTCGTCTACTAGGGAGGCATTGTCGACTGGGGAGAAGTAAGCTGTTAATAGGTAAATGAGGTATACCTGGAAGGAACATAATGTGTCGAAGTCACTTGTCGCGTCCTAGTTCATGGTAAGGGGAATATTTTCAATGGAAGGAGACAAACCATACCTCTCGGGATAGTCTATCCATCTCCTGTCTGACGGTTGATAAAACAATTGCCTCGCTTCCCTCAACTCTGTTCATCCACATGCGCACCAGAGAAAAACAGTTCGCTATTGTTCGCGGCATCGGTTTGTTGTTGAGTTGCAATGGGTGAATGAATGGAGGGAGACTTTTCTCATCGAGGAGATGATTGGGGTATGAGCGAAGCACGCAAGCGAGGAACTGCACGGTAAACGGGCTGAACAGTTTGGGGAGCTGCCCCGTTGCAGTAGAAAGGTAAGGCTGCAGCCAGCGATCACGGATATTCTCGGCATCTGCCATTGGCATGAGGTCAACGTGATCAAAATTCAAACCAATGTCCACAGTCTGCGTAGATTCATGCTGAGAATAAATGTGTGGTATATCCGACGCATGGCCAGACACAGGACTCGGGAACGCTGTTGCAGTCGAGGCAATGGAAAAGTTTGCAAGTGACGGCTCAAAGTTGACACTGTTAACTGCTGAGTTTCTTTCACTTGAAGCCCCAGGGCTTGACCGATGTACGTCGCCTGAAACCTCGGGATACCGACACTGCTTGCCGCGAGTCCAGCATCGCGAGCAGGCCGGCCTCTCCAAGCCACATCGGACCTTGGATTCCGTGCAGATCTGGCAGGCCTTTTTGCGCGGTTGACCTTGTTTTCTGATTTTCATGTTTGATCTCGAGTTCATGATGTGAACACGTCGCGTGAGGGCGGTCTCGGGGTCATGAAGATGGACGGTCGGAACCCCGTGCTCGGCATAACGGAACTCCGGGTCTAACATTCGACCCGCATTATATACACGTTGTCACATAATAATGCTCCCATTTCTACACCTAAAATTCAATTTCTTCAACTTCCAAACAGGACCAATTCCCAAATCTACAGTGTAAGCGATCAACATACAAATACATTTCAACCAAAATGCCCAAAATCTTCACAACAGACCATTCTACCTCAGTCTTACAGACCCACAGCTGACGGACCCTTTCTAACTCAGCATTCTTCCTACTCCTACATCCAACCAGACCTGCAAATCCTAGATGTAGGCTGCGTGCGGGCCAGGGAGTATGACAATCGATTTTGTCAAACACGTACCTCGCGGGCTTGTAACAGGCGTAGAGTACGTTCCCGGATAAACCTTTCGACATTGTCCATGCACCTCAGGTCATACAGCATATCGCCAATCCGGTTCGTGCATTCCGGGGGATGTGGCGCGTGGCCAAGCAAGGCAGAATCGTAGCAGTGCGCGAGTCTGCTTCACTAACCTGGTATCCCGAATCGGAGAGCATTACTGCATGGCATGAGGTTAGGGAACGAATGCGGCGAGAAAAAGGCGGCAATCCTCACCCTGGAAGATTTAGTCACATTTGGGCAAAGGAGGCGGGGTTTTCTGGGGAGAGTATCAAGAAAAGTGCTGGTTCATGGTGTTTTAGCAGTCCTAATGAACGGAAGTACTGGAGTGGCTCGATGGAAAAGAGAGCTCGGTCGTCTGGATTTGCGGTTACGGCAGTTGGAGGAGGCTTTGCGGCTCCAGAGAGCTTGAAGAAAATCGCGATAGGGTGGAAGGATTGGAAATAAATGCCACTGACTTGGTGGGTGTCCGCCTTGTTTATAGGGGATGGTTCAGTAGCCTGCCAAGCGCTGTGCATATCTCCCATGGTGCGGAGTCTGTACACGATGCCAACTACTGTATTTCAAATATTAGAGCAATATAAATCACGCCACAAGTCACTTATGCTCGCCGAGCATTGCACCCCACCTGAGCACTTGGAGGGAGAACATCAGGAAATAGTCATCTCCCTCCAAAGGGATCTCTCACAACTCGAATATTAGCCTATTAGTAAAAACGCCCATTTATGACAAGCTTCCCTATGTATATCGGAGACCCTTTTAAAAAGAGGCTTTTGATTCTGAAAGCCCGAGTAATTGAAGAAAACAACTCGCGATTCAGAAAGTTGCTATTGTCCCAAACTAATTGACTGGAGTTTTCAAACTGCTATCGTATGTCTCCTCGGCCATGCTCTCCGGATCTTGTTTAAGGCCGCCAGCCGCCTCATCAAACAGGCGTGGAAACCATCTCAAGATCCTGTCTCTGCAAACTTCGTACCCGGCTCCCATACGCAGGACCTGCATGTTTTCAACATCGAGATTGACGCCACCGCGGCCGTACAGATGCCACTTCTGCAGGCCGTAATCAACAATCAAATCGACACATGCAAGCACGGTGGGCTCAACATCTTCAATCCGAAATCGTTGCCCTTGTCCAGTAAGATTTGCGGAAGTTCCGAACATCAACATGCCCTGTGGGTCGACATCGCAGAGCCGACCGAGCTCTCGCAAGAAAGGTCCTTCTGGAATGGCGATGCTGACCGTGTCTCCATTTGTGACCTGAGAGAGTGTGGCCTTATCTAGCGCCGCCAAACGCGGGTGAAGGTGCTTTGAATCGAACTTGGCGATGATTCCGATTATCATTCCCATGTCCTCGGTCAACACACGCGTTAATTCGAACTTTGACTCCGGCAACAAATGGATCTCTCGATGTTGCTGATACGTTCCAATGATACCGATGTTATGGCTCTCTCGACGACCTTTGGCAGCAAATATTCTTTGAATCCCGGCCTGAGAAGTGGCTATAAGTGCATAGCCTACATCTGTTGGGGCGATGATGACTCCACCCGACTTGAGAATCTGGTAAGCTTGTTGAGTGTCATGAGGCACATTTGGCACATTTCCTGGCTCTGGAATTGTATGGGGAGGCATGAGGTTGGTAATTTTGTCTGAAAGACTGGAATAAGTTGCACTTGAACCATTCGAAATCCGTTTTTATTGGGATTCCAAGGGGTTCGCAAGGAGGAGGTACAAATAGTCAGTTTTGCTGGGGGTATCGTGACGTAAGCCTAGCGCTTTAACTAAGATCTAAACTATGGACCCGGAGTCTCGGTTCCATAGGCTCAAAGTTTATTTTCGGAATTCCGGGACTATGAGCCTCACTGGACCACAATGTTGATCGGAGTTCCGAAATCTTAATGAAGAATGGACAATAAAAAGCCCATTAGACTTGAAATGTTCATCAGCTATTCATTTTTTTCCCCTCTCTTAACCACTCTGGTACACTTGAAAAGGATTCTTGCAACCTGCTCCTAGCTCATCGTACCTCTTGCCAAAGGTTTGCCACGATGAATGCTCTAATCCGCGAGAGTTTGTTTGGACGCCTCTTGAATTTTTTAACCAGTAACAATGCCTTGCCATATCCTGATCTTGAGATACCTAAACTCGAACCTAAACTCGAGATGGTGTCGAATTCAGCTACGTCGACCACTTCGGTGACGCCCGAGCCCGGGCGTGAATTTATCGTTGAATTCTCAGGTGACGATGACCCGGACATGCCAAGGAACTGGTCACGGTTATCGAAGACGCTCGTCATGTTGGATGTAATGTTCCTGAATTTCAGCTTCTATGCCGCTTCGGCAATTTTCACACCAAGTATTCCCGGTATCGAGGATCAATTCGGCGCCACGACTGCTGAAGGAACTCTTGGACTATCACTATTTGTCATTGCCTATGGCATTGGACCTTTGTTTGTACGTACACACCAACCTCAAATAAGACCTACTTTGGCTAATAATCTGAGTTACGTTTCCTAGTTGTCTCCACTATCAAATCTCCCAGCTATCGGCCGTACACCGGTGTACGTCTTGGGTTCTCTCGTCTTCTGTCTGCTAAACATCGGAACGGCTCTTGGAAAGAATATTGAGACTATCCTCACGCTACGTTTTTTCGGTGGTTTCTTTGGAAGCGCCCCAATAAGTGTTGGAGGAGCAACTCTGATGGAAGTATACGGGCCGGGCGAAGTGCCGTACGCGATTGCTTTATATGCAGTAAGCGGGGTTTGTGGGCCGATTTTAGGACCGGTATGTCCTGCGTTCTACCATTAAGCATGAATTATAAAGTCAACTAATCTCAGCTCTCAGATATTCGGGACTCTAGTGATGTTCGTACCTTCCCAGCTCTATGCCCTTGTGATATTGCTAACTCATATAGCGATCGTTGGCACACTTGGACAGCAAGTTTATGGCTTCTTGCTGGAATTACCGCATTCACAACGTTGTTCATCTTTTTTTTATTACCGGAGACGCTGTCTTCCAACATTCTTCTTCGTCGAGCGCAGCGCCTTCGTGCACGAACAAGAAATCCTTTATACCGAACCCAATCTGAAATGGCACCAACGACGAGCTTTGGCGCCATGCTCTTTGAGCAGGCAGTAAACGATCTTAAAATATCCTGCATGGATCCGGTGATTATTTTCGTGAACATACACACCATGCTGATATATGGCATTCTCTATCTATGGTTTGAATTCTTTCCGTTTGGTAAGACGATCCCTTTCTAATTTAGCAACTTGGATCCACCGGCTTACAACCCTTTTATAGTTTTTGGAGGAGTATATCATTTCAGTCCTGTACAACAAGCTCGTGGGTTTCTCCTGATATTAAACCTAGGGGTCTGGTTAGGCTTATATGTTCTTTGACAGTTGCATTTTTCGGTATCCTCGCCGGCGCAGTCATATCCGTTGTGGCATACGTACTCTGGCTCCGATTCTCCTACCAGCCTCGCGTATCTAGGCTAGAATCCAGTGTCGAGCCCGAAGCGAGACTAGTCCCAGGACAAATCGGTGCAATTTGCATTCCAATCTGTTTGTTCATATTTGCATGGACATCACGACCAGAGTATGCTTGATCAAACGTTACTAATGGATAATTGCGCGTACTGATGTATCTTTAGTGTACACTGGGTTGTTCCAGTAATCGGCACCGCTTTTTTTGCGCCAGGTTTCTACCTCACGTTTCAGTCTATTCTCAATTATCTTGGAGAATCTTATCCGAGACACGTTGCAAGTGTGTTCGCCGGCAATACCTTTTTTAGGAGCTCATTTGGAGGTGCATTACCTTTGGCTGCCCCTCGGATGCTGCAGTCTCTTGGAATTGGCTGGGCATCCAGTACATTGGGATTCATTTCCGTCGCTATGCTTCCGCTTCCCTTCATTCTGGAAAGGGTAGGTTAAAACATATCTCGCGGTTCCATTTATTATCAGCTAATTAATTAATTAGTATGGGAAGACACTACGCTCATGGAGCAAGTTTGCAAATTAGGGCTCAAGGCTCAGGCGCCTAGTCTCAGCGCCAGATTGCACAGAGATTCTAGCAATTTTCAGATTGTGATGCCGAGAAGGACGGATGTCACGTATGAGGGGCAGTGGAGGATTTCGTGTAAGATACGACAATATACGTAAAGCAGTGGTTCTGGAATTAAAAAAGGGTCTATTATCAGGAAAGGATTCTTTACACCTTACCTTAATACAGATTAGCGTGGTCTCGGGTACGGCCCGAGAAACAGAAGGCGAGCAAGTGGAGGCACACAACACGTGGGGGTTTGGCCAGTAGCCGACTTGATTGGTGTACTGTAGGTGAATGTTTTTTTTATTTTTACTTTTTCTTTTCTTCCTTCAGAGGACTTCGGAAATATTATTTACTGTGCCCTATCACGGCTGTAATAAGTGCGCGGTTGGCCACGATAATCGACAACCTTCGAGCGGCAAAATGGGCGGGATTACCGCCCTCTCCAAACAGCTGTCTGATTCTCTGATTAACTAAAATCTGATCATCTTCAAAGCCAGTCACTACTTTAATCTTCCATTATAACACTCAGTTTGCCCCTCCAAATCTCTACCGAGAGACATCTCCAAATGGCAGCCCTCCCAACGCCCTAGCGGGCTACGCAAACATGTTCGGCGTTGGCACTGTATATGCCGCAAGCACATTCCAAGAACAATTACCACGATTGTTGGAGATTTCGCAACAACCCAGCTATGCACCTTTCGCGGTAGCGTGCCTGGGCCTGTCCGTCGGCGTCGCTATCTGTGGCTCCATGCTATACCGAACCGATGCCAGTGTTGTTACAGCCCGCGGTACAAGTCTTTGGGGGATAGCACTCATCTGCGCCGGCCTTTCTCTGAGATATGGAAGCTTTATTGGTATACTACTGAGCTTCTTCTTTGGTGGTATTGGCATTGGCTTGACATATCTCGCTGTGGTCATTCTCGTGGGGCAGGCTTTTCCCAACCACGCTCTCGCTAGAAGTGCAATCGGGCCTTTGGGATTTTCTTCTGGTGCGTCGGTGTGTCTTTACCTCGGATTGGCTCTTGATTTCGACACTTTGAGCGCTGTAGACCTTGGACGACTGGTCGCTCTTGGTGGAGTTGGCTGTGTCTCTATTGGTGCTAGCACTGGGTTTTTGATGACCACAACCGACAAGACTCGATACCCTACGGGTGAAAAGTCACAATCAATGCAAGGAAAGACCTTCTTTTCTGTTCTGCTCTTTTTAAATACCTTGCCAGGGATGAAACTTTCCGGTACACTGCTCCCAATCGTGTCATTTCACGCGCAAGGTTCCTCTGAATTTTCTCCCCTTCAGCTTGATTGCCCTTACGGCTGGCGGTTTTCTTGCCCCAACCCTCAATAATCTGCTCGGCCCTGAACGCACTTTTGTGTTTCTGTTTTGTTTGCGAGGTTGCCTTCTTGTCTTCGTCTCATTGTTCAACGAGCCTGCTTTGGTTTTTCTGGCTTTTTTGGTCGTCTTGTTCTCACACGGTGCTGGGTTTAGCATTATTCCTGGTTTGATCAAAGCCAAGAGTAATGTGGCTGCACACTTCCCTCATAATTATAGTCAAGTACTCATCTCTTGGAGCCTTGCGGGCGCGGCTGGGTATCTCATCAATGTCTTTAGTCTCGTGATGCCTGAGGCAAGAGTCATGGTCGACTTCTCTATTGGCTTTGTGACTCTTCTGGTTGGTCTCTTGCTTTGCTTTGTCTCATCTTCATGAGATTTGATCTCAGCAAAAGGATGGAATTGCATTCGCTCTACAAATCCGCGTTCCCACTGACACTGACCTTACTACTCGCTTGCTCCATTACTTCAAAAGTGTTATCATCTAAAGCATTGATAAGAGTATTCCATTCCCTTGATCTGGAATTCAATTTTCCGTCAATCTGCCCAATTTCTTCCGAGCCAGAGTTGGATCACGGACTAGCCAATAACAGCAACCTTGTCGCTCGGTCTAAACAATTGCATCTTGACAGGGCATGGAACAGTGACTTACCGCTAGGCCACATTTCTTTGGCTTTGGATGTAATCCTGGGTCGATTTGCAATTCTGGTGTTGTAAACACTGAGTATCGATTCGACGCCTTGACCCTTGGGTATTTCAACCTGCCTTCGATTGTATGTTGTTCTCTTCAATCAATCAATATTTTTATCCTGGGTTGATTCCGCTTGGTCTTATTCGTCCCGAATGCATGATATTCCACACATAATTAGCTAGCCCTGGTAGAAACTTCCTCAGGGAACTGAGTCAAAGATTCCAGGAACAAGGTGATTCTCAGGGCCAGAGTGTACGTTCCCGTATCCGGTTGAGTCAACATTGAACGGTTAACAGAAAGGCGACGACGTCTCCCTAAACTCAACATCACCTTCTCAACGCGGCCTTAGTTTCTCTCGACAACGAAGCAGAATTGACATCTCAGCTGTCCCTTCAATCAGTGGAAGCTGAATAAAAGGATGGCTTTCAAGGGGCCTCGGATTTGGGCAGCCGCACTCGCAATTATGTTTCAACATTTACCATTGCCAATACCAGACCAGTTGATACCAAACAAAGCATGCCAGCGACAAGACAAACCGAGAACTTTATAGATACCCCCTAATATCCTCGCTCCTTTGCTATATTACTCATGACATGAGTCTTCTACTCAGGAAATCTGCCTGTGCTAAACTAGAATGAACTAGACTAGGGCCCCAAGAGGAATAAACGAATGCGATGATGGGATACATTGTTTTTGGATCGTTGCACGGCCAGACACAGCCCCCAAACCAAACCCAACCCCGCTCCCCCTCTAGGCTAATTTCGGGAGAAAAATCGCCCAAAATAGCATCGGCGCTAACTGGGACACATGCGCCGAGACACGTGTGCCTATCAGGAACAAAAACTCCCCCTTCCCTAGAATATTCTGTATATTTTCATTTGAGTTTTCCACACGCCGAAATCTTCCCCCTCGAGAACAGCCTCCATGTCTCTAATGGCAGAAAACAATTTAAAGAATTTGAGACGTTTGGCGAAGAAATACAACATCCGTTTTCGCCTTCCTTTCGAACCATTGCCCGACTGTCACGCTGACACATTCAAGAACATCAAAGAGTTAGGATGTTATCGATTCGATACATATGCTGAAAATGCCAGCATTAGATCTGCTGAAGAGCCCTGGGTTCGGCAGACCAAATCTCGGGCCGAATGGCTGGCTCATCGAGCTGCGAGGTTGTTCGAGCAAAATCGCAATGAAGCAGGCTGGCGTCTTGGACTAGAGAACGATGTATTGCGAAGGTTTGCTGTTGAAGTAGCATGGTATGCACTCTATTGACTTTCTGGGCTATGAAATTCTGCTTTCATCATCGCAATATCTCATAGCGACTTGGTCATACTCAACGCGAATTGGCTAACAAGAAACAGCCCAAGGTGTAGAGCTAGAATTTGGAAATCAGAAATTCAGGCAACAATACAAAACAACGGACATTATTCAAAGCGGCTTGAAGAACGTCAGAATTCACGGAAGCCTTGCGAGTGCTCTTACGGAAAGCATCTCTATGACTTGTAAGAAAACTTTACGCTACCTCTTGAATGACAGTCATTGATCAATCTGCTAATATCTGCTCGTTTTCCTAGCTATGAGACCGGAACGAACAATCTGTTTGAGGATCGGGCCGAAGAATTCATTCTTTATGAAGGGATCCTACGATCAGAACTGAAGAAACAAGGCCCGGACCGTGTCTACGGGCTGAAGAATACAAGCAATCTTGACTCTCTGCTCTCCAGCCTAGCACCGCCGGAACTTGCAAACGAGCCTGGCGATACTATTGCTGACGTGGTAAAACACACTCCATTCAGCTCGGATGTTGATCCTCTGCTTTTTCCTTTTTTAGTCCTTGAGGCAAAGTCCGAATCTAGCAGCAGCGGATTTGATGCCATACAAATACAGTCTGCTTTTCCAATTCGGGCCCTCCTGAAGTTGCAAGAGGATTTACAATCTAATTCCCCTATATCCGATCCCGCAATGGCTCCGCTAGTCTGGTTCCTTGCATGTCGGGGTGATGCGTGGAGGGTCTATGGGGCTTACCTAGCCCCTGGGCAAAACGAAAGCCCAACTTTCTATGTGAGTACAGCGGGTGCATAGCTTGATTGAAGGCTAACACGCAAAGGAAATATCCCTACTATGGTCTGGCTCTTTGTTACATAAAGATCAGGCTCTGCAACTTGTGCTGATTGTTGACTACATTATGGATTGGGCCCGCGATATCTACCGCCTTGATATTGTGAGGCATCTCAAATCCATTGTCACTGGAGAAATCTCAGACCAAATGAGCTTCCGAGATAGCGATATCTTTTCTACATGCGGAAGTGTCTTCAACTGGATCCCACCTCCGCGAAGTATCGCAGCCGAGGACATTGCAGAATCAAGTTTCACAGCGAACCGAGATCAATTCGAATCGAGCTTGTCAACTCATGAAGCAATGCTAAATACCCCGATTCCGAATACGGAGCTTGGATCTCTTCGCTCTGCCTTTATTTCGAATTTTCGCTTTGTTTGTCTTTACATCACATCTGATTTGGTCCCGAGTCTACTGGAAATGGTCGGAGGCAAATATAAGACCAGAGCCAACATTGAATCGGTTGCTCGACGGCTGATAAATTTTATCACACAGTTTGACGAGGTGTTGGTGATGTCGGGGAGGGATCTTGAGTTGCTTGAGATGCTCTGGACTGGAGTCAGTCATTCGAGCCCCGAGGCTTATCCAGAGGAATTCTTTGTTATCATGGAGACGAGTTGGTATTTCAGTACTTCTTGGGATATCCAGCGAGAAATTTCATGCTTGGCGATCTCCAGAACAGCTTTTGATGTGTTGAAAAAGACTGCCAACTTTAGAGTCAAACATAAAGGTATCGACAAACTTGAACGGTCTGAACGGATTTGTCACGAAAAGGCAATACGAGATTTGGTTGACTGTCTGACATCCGCATCTTCATGGCAGGTTCTGCTTGCTGCTATTTCTTGCACTCTTGTCACAATCTATCCATTCCCGTTGCGGAAAAGACATGATTTCACGCCTGCACTGGAGGCTCTCGGGTTTGGATACATTCGAGAGGCAAGAGTGCAGCCCTTTATTCAAAGAATTTTATCTCGAAAGATGTGGGCTCCGAAGAAGCATGTAACTGTCACACGTCGAGAAATGAAGGCTGCTCTGCAGAGCGGGATGACAGCTGAGGAGGTTTTCGCCTCGAAACGGGATAGACGTCCCAGACATACAGACATGTCGTTCAAGCGTATATCAGAATGTCAGAAACATATTGTGAAAGCCGAAGATCATTTGCATGAACACTGTGCTAGATGCATTCTGAGCCTTGAACGGCACAAATCACAATTTGGCCATGGATATTTGGATAGGCGGAATCTACCTGTGGTATCAGCCTACAAAACGGTCATTCTAGTCTCATTGGAAAACGATGATCCGACTAGGTCTCTTGTGCGCGCCGATATATGCGTTTTCGGATTAGGCGAACTTGATGGTATTCGAGACAACCACTCTATTGCTTCAATGATTGAAGAAATGACACTACCTAAATCCCTTATATTTCACACCATCAAATCGAACCCCGAGCATTTTCAATGCTATCCAGATGAGATTAAATGCAATTTGCCCCTGCCATATCGTTCTATTTCTGACAAAGAAAGATTGCGAATCGCGGACTGGGTTCTTGAATTGAGAGGTCATTTCCGAGCTTCTAGGCAGGGTATCCTATATTCTGAGTGGGAGCACAACCAAAGCTTTATGTTTCTTTTAAGTATCGGTCATTCGGAACACGAAGCTTCACTCATGCTAAAGCATAAGCCTTGGGGTAATTATAAAACCACGTCTGATTTGGCCAGGCTTATAGCTATGCAACATGGTACAAAGCAAACTCCATATTTACCAAGTGCTTCATTGCGGCGAACTTCAAAAATAGCAGGGGATGAGCTTGTTATTCACTTTGGTTCCTGGGATGAAGGAAGAAGGTTTCTGTGTCGACAATACCCACGACAAATTGAACATATTGCCTCGGTTAACATTGAGGACGGAAGAAAGCACACACTGGAAGATTCTGACAGTGAGCTAGAGCAAGAGTCGTTTGAAACCAGCTAGAGAGATTTGTTGATTTAACTAAATGAAATTGCTGCTCAAGGTATGCACACTTCAGAGGCCTTTGAGCAAGACCTCAGAAGCCTCTCCGCAACCAACCAACTGCTAGAAAAGACATATATGACTACGCTCGCGAGAAGGGTACCGGGACACAGAAAGACGACAGCGGCATATGCGCATTCTGTGGCTTCGGACCTCACTCTACCAAGAACTATGCATATCTGAATAATTCCCCGCCTGCCACCTAAGAGCCTATGGGTAATTTAAATAATTCATTTAGCAACGTATCGCAGTCACACTACTTAGAATTTACAAAGGAGGACCCAGAAAGTAAATATATTCTAGCCATATCAGCTCCACCGGCCACAAGCTGTGCTTTATTCCTCCTTGGTTCGTCCCATTTGATCCGTGAATTTCACCTCCGCGTCTAGCTTAGCCAACTCGCATTATAGGAACCCCATCTCCCTCCTGCAGCCACGCGTATATTGGATATACTTTGAATCGCACATTCCAAGTTAATAGGCGACCGGAAGTTAAATGGGGCCGAGATGTATAAGATAATCTTTCCTTACGATGTTCTGTAGTCAAACAACTTATACGTTCCCTAATAATCAATAAAAGCGACTAGTGCAGAAGAGCTTCACTTGCACTATCGAGAACCTTGGAGGGTTGCTATGAACGTTTGATGGAAGGAAGAGACTGGATTTGAATCCCGATGCTGCTACTGTTGAACATTTTATACTACCAGGCCGAATGTTCCCTCAGTTCCTATTGACTCAGGAAGCGCTTGGAGGTGTTTTAGGCTAGTGGCGCCCACAGGTTAGGTTTTCCTAATTAGAAGTACTACAGGCGTTTGTACGACAGGGTTCTGATCGTGGTCGTCATTTGTCGCCAATTTAACTCCATCTTCTCCAAATTTAGAAACAAAGGACGCTTAAGCCAATGGAAGATTGGGTAAAAGTGGGCCTTATAGAGTTTCAAGTAGCCGCCGTGCTAAGACTGCCGAATGTGCATGCATAAGTCGCTGTAACCGCTGACGTGTATATTAAAGGACCATTTGCTGCTAAGCTGGGAATGTGAGCGGGTCTAAGCCTCATTGGCCTGCTTGACCCCAACCGGCATGATCCCTAGGTCTGGCAAGAATGTTGATCCCTTTTACAAAACAACTTGCTAGTCGTCTTCTGAAAATAGGAACATAGGAGGCTCATCGGCGGTTAAGGAGATTTTCGAACCTATATCAAAAACCCCGCTTTCGATCATAGTGAGGCGACCATGTCTGTCTATCAACCTCCAGAGCAGCCAACGCATCCGACTGTCCTGTCCATGGAAGTGGATGATGAAGATTCTTTTGAAAGTGAATACCGACTGCGAATGGGAAATCAAGTCAAATACCTTATCATATCTCCCAAAACCTTCGACAGAGATACGCTTTCACTCCCTATACAATCCCTACCAAGTCTTCCTTGGTACGATGAATGGACAGTAGCCCATATTTCGCGAGACGAAATTAGCGGCCACTTAAGAACTTCCATCTCGAACCGACCATTAGCCGGCGTCAAGTGCCAATGGCATCACATCCTAGTTGATTGCCTAGAGTTAAAGAGAACCAAACTACTCACTGCATTGGCTTTCGAAGCAGTCGCGTATTCAATTCTACCAACCATCTTCCAAAATCTAGCAACCGTGATCGCCAAAATAGCCCGTTTCGAATAGGAGATTCCTTATATCGAACGGGAAACGAGAGTATATCAGCTGCTTAAGTGTTCTAGGCTAACAGCGCGCTTCCTCGGCCATATTCATGAAAACGGACGTATTATAGGGTTTCTATTAGAGAAAATAGAAGGACGCCCTACTTCTATCCAGAATCTGGATATATGTGAAGTAGCTTTGAGGAAACTCCACAAAATTGGATTTCTACATAGGGATGCGAACCGATATATCTTCCTTATCGTGGAAGAGGGGGTGAAACTTCTTGACTTTGAATGCTTTCAGGAAAATACTAGTCGGGATTCAATTCACAAGGAGTTGGAGAGTCTACGTGTTGAACTCACTAAGGAGTCCGGGCGTGGTGGAGGCTTCATAGTCACGGGCGATAGCAATTGAAAATGTCTTCGCATGACCCTGAATCGCTGTCAAGGAAGCTATAGGTATATGCCAAGATATCGAGTATCTTAGATGGATGGGTATAATCCAACCACATTCTGTTGTTGTTTAGCTAAGGGGAGAGAGTCAGTTTGGTCGTTCGACTCGGGTGATTCAACCGGATTCTCATCCTCGTCACCATCTCACAGCAACAATTACTTCTATAATTTACGTTATCATATTCTCTGACACATAACTTAGTACATACGACCATAGGGTGTGGAAAACAGGGCTTCCCGTCCGCTCAGCCGTACTTAAGCCACACGCCGGTGAGTTAGTAGTTGGGTGGGTGACCACCAGCGAATCCTCACTGTTGTATGTTTTTGTTTTTTCATGCTTTTTGTTTCTTTTTTGTTCTTTAGAACGTCCCTCTTGCCGCTCTACTTACTCTTCAGCCCATTTAGCCCATTCACCTGAATGCCCTAAACACCACCTGAATATCCTACACGCCCCTGAAGCGCTGACGTGTCTTTCCCCTCCCGTACTGATACTTTCTTATAGGCATGTTGTTTTGATCACAACTCTCTGGTACTAATTTCTATTACGGATTGACATATATCTTCCTAGAATTCAAAATGGCTAGGAAAGAAAAAGAAGGGCCGCCTAGGAGATTCAAACTTGCTATTGAATATAAGTTTGCTGGAGGTCACCCACCCCACTTCTAACTCAATGGCGGCTTATGTCGTGAGAGAGACGATGATGTTATCCACTACACAATATCGGACGGGTACGATGAATTACGCTTTTAGTTTAGTTTGTCCACTTGCGGTTTAGCGCTCTTTGTCCTTATGCCTGAGTCAGAAAGACTTATCAATCTAGCCTAGTTAGCTGTTAAGCTGGGTTTCAAGAATGAGGAGATCTTGACCTTATACACACAAGCTGCGGCTAGCCGATATCGAATCGTCACTGAAGAGTTTCTTAACCAGCTGCAGCCTCTAGATCAGTATCATATTAATACCGAGACTAATATAAGTGTCGCTTAGAACGTGTCCGATAGAATCAGTAACGCCTCGGCTATTCGGATACCTATAGAAGAAGTATATCTCACTACGGACCTAGAAAATCTACCTAAGAAATTTCGTTATAGTCGGCCGTCTTATAAGTGGTACCTAAGCGATCGACAGCTCTTATTTCTTATAAATATCTACTAATAAGAAATGGTTCTAAGGTTATATATAACCTCCTTTGTAATATAGCGTGATATATTTCTCTCGTTCTTCGGCGAAATCAATCTATATTCCGAGGTAACGGAAGATGACTCTGATTTCCCTAGGGATAACTACTACGACGATATGTCCGAGAGCTACGATACGTAGTCTTCGGGAAACGAAGGAAATAATATATAGTATTATAATAAGCCTTAATATAAAGCTAAATATTTGGAACATAAGACGCCTAGAGATTTTGAGCCGACTTTGAGTGAAAGCGATAATCCACTTAGCTAGCTATAAGCCTATTAGTCAAGAGCCGATTCCTAGGAAACCGGCTCTATATTAACCCTATCCGACTTCTAGGCTATAGATGATCAGTTAATATCACTTAGCCCCTTAACAATACCTTCAAACCTTATTAATAACGTACTTACGTAAACGGATGATATCCTACTCTATTCCTAGTAAACTAGGCAGTACGCGTAGCTATTAAGTAGGCCCTAAGATAACTATTTATTTTATAGAAAGGTATAGCTATGTTACGGACCTATCCGTCACCAATCAGTAGTGACCCACTAGGCACACCAATAGGCCATCGAGAGCCAACCAGCAGACCTATCAGCAGATTACGTATAAGATCACTAAGTAAGAGTATGATCCGCCCTAAAGCGGATCTACCCCGTAGAGGATTTCCGTTATATAGGTTACTCTACGTACTAGATAACTACCGCTTAATATTACGTGATTATATAGGTAGTAGAAGGGTAGTAAGTAGATTAGTAGAATCCGCTAAGGCGATTCTACTATTCTACTATCTACTATTCTATATAGGAAGATTATATTAAATATAATAGATTTATATTATAGAAGCTAAAAGAAGTAGAAGTTACTCTTAAACTAAAGAAATATAAATTCTATATTTAAGAAACGACTTTCCTCGGATACTATATTACCTCTAAAGGACTAGGGATAGAAGAAGATAAGGTTAAAAGTATTATAGAATAGCCGATATCTAAAAATATAAAGGAAGTATAATAATTTCTTAGTCTAGCTAATTATTATCGGAAGATTATTAATAAATACGCCGGAGTCGTATTAGGACTCTACTATCTTACTAAGAAAGATTAGAAATTTATATAGGATAAGATAGTAGATAAATCGTTCTAAGACCTTAAGGAACTCTTTAATAAAGAAATAATTATAGCTATATTTAGCTATAACCGACTAATTATTATAGAAACCGATATATTAGACTATACTCTAGGAGTAAGACTAATATAACTAGGAACTAATAGTAAATATTAACTAATTATATTTTAATTAAAGAAAATAGTTCTAGTAGAACTTAACTATAATATATATAATAAAGAACTATTAGCTATAATATTAGCGTTCTAAGTCTAGAGAGTATATCTAAAAGAAATAAAATATATAATAATAGTTAAAACTAATTATAAGAATCTTATATTCTTTACTATAATAAAGAAATTAATAAGATAATAAGCGCGATAGGCCGAAACCCTTATATAATACGATTTTAAAATCGAATACTATAAAGGAATAGAAAATAGATAAGCCGACGCTTTAAGTAGACGACTAGATTATAAATTAGGAATTAAGGTAGCGGATCTTACTATATTAAGATAAAATTCTAATAGTACTATTTTATATAATAAGTAGTTACTAGCTATAATAATAGAAGTTAAGGATAACGACTTCTTATAGAAAATTAAAGATATATTAGAGGAAGATATAATTAATTAACTTATCGAGAAGGGTAGAAAACTTATTAAAAATAACTAAGGATTACTCTATATATATAGATTAATATATATTCTAAGTAAGCTAAGAGAAGAGGTTATATATCGATACTACGATAATATCTTATATAGATATATAGGAGTAGAAAAAACTATTAAATATATTACGCGAAATTATTATTTTCTAAATATATAGCGAAAGGTTCGATTCTATATCCGCGTTTACGATATATACTAACAAAATAAACCTATACGATATATATCTTATAGGGGATTATAGTTATCTAAGATATTAACCTAACTATAGGAATAGATTATAATAGACTTTATTATAAAGTTACTAATCTTAGATAGATATAATATAATTATAGTTATAGTCGATAGGCTTACTAAGTACGTCTATATAATTCCGACTATAGAAACTATTAATACTAATTAAATAGCGAATATTATACTTCGATATATAGTTATAAATTATAAGATACTAAGTAAGATTATATTAGATAGAGATAAGTTATTTATATCGAATATATAGAAGTCTTTTATAGACTAGATAGATATTAAGCTTAGACTCTCTACTATATACTACCTATAAACTAATAGTTAGATAGAAAGAGTAAACTAGATAGTAAAATAGTATCTATAATACTATATAAACTATTAGTAAGATAACTAGATAGGATTATTACTAATAGTATAGCTAGTATATAATAATATAATATACTCTATAACTAACGAAATATTATTCTTTATAAATTATAGATATAATCTAATAGTATTTAGAGAACTAATTAATAAGATAGCTATAATAGAATTAGCGAGGCTAAAGGCTAATAGGCTAAGAAAGTTATATATATAACTAGCTAGAGATATTAACTTTATTAATCTATATATAAAGAAATATTACGATAACTACTATAGAGAGAGACCTAACTTTAAGGAGAGAGAAAAGGTTTACCTATTACGATATAATATTAAAACTAAGCGACCTAGTAATAAATTAGACTACCTACTATTACGGACCTATCCGTCACCAATCAGTGGTGACCTACCAGGCATACCAATGGGCCATCGAGAGCCAACCAGGATATCTATCAGTAGATCACGTGCAAACTCACTGAGCAAGAACATGATCCGCCCTAAGCGGATCTACCCCGTAGAGGATTTCCGATATATAGGTTACTCTACGTACCAGATAACCACTATACCATATCGGAAAGGCACGTGACTATATAGGTAGTAGAACGGTCGATAGTAGGATGGTAGAACGGTTCTACTATTCTACTATCTACTATTCTATATAGGAAGAACTCAGAGATATATAAGGATACTTATTTATATATCTAGTTTAGTTCTTCGTCTTCAATCATATATTGTTATTTATGTTTACCTTTTAGATTACTATAACTCTTTACTTGATTATAACTTGACAATACTTACGAGTAGACTAATACTCCGGTATAGATCTACTCGGCGCTCTACCTAGTATTAGTTCCTTAATCGCTTAATAGAATTTAGGCTATAGTAAGGCCCTACGCGGCAATAGCTTAGTTACGATCCGATTATTAACGTTAGACTATTCGAGGAGTATTAAGGTAAGTATACCCTAAACCTATCTAACCTAACTATGACTAGTTAGCTAGTACGTAATATATTGAAG